AAATACATAGATACACAGATTTACGTATGCCCTACATAAAGTATTCGATGTGTCTTTTACATAGTGTCATTAATGTGAGTGTAACAAGTGACTCGTTACGATGTCCGTCGGCGTCACGTCACGTCACAAAATGTCAACATCTTATTCCATCTAACCTTTATAAGATTCTCATCCTCTGCTTGTATTCTTGTAAGTCACTCACTGATGTTTACTTAATAAATTTCCTTCCTTTGCTATCCTAATCTCTGGTCAGGTGTACACGAAATGCCAACGTTCAGGTGTGCTCGCGCGCGCGCGTGTGTGTGTGTGTATTATATATAAAATATTTTATATGCGAACAAGCCTGAATGGTCCCAAGGCATACATGCAACTGAAAACTCACACCCCAGGAGTGACTCGAATCCATACTGGCAGGAGCACTATGCAACTAGTGTACAGGGCATCTTATCCAGACCATCACGACCAGACAAAAGCTGATGGTAACCGAGGCTATTTCCCCATCAGCCCGCCGGCACACTGATGGTAATCTTGGGCATAGTATTTTATCAAATCATCTCATTCTTTGGGGCACACATGAGGAACACAAATGCGAACAAGCCTGAATGGTCACCAGGCATACAGACATACATGCAACTGAAAACTCACACCCCAGAAGTGACAGAAGTGAAGATTTTTTCCCCATCAGAAGTGGCTGATGGGGAAATAGCCTCGGCTACCATCAGCTTTGTCCGGTCGTGATGGTCGAGTGGATAAGATGCCCTGTACACCAGTTGCATAGTGCTCCTGGCAGTATGGGTTCGAGTCACTTCTGGGGTGTGAGTTTTCAGTTATATATATAAATAATATATATAAATATATATATATAAATATATATATAAATATATATATATATATATATATATATATATATATATATATATATATATATATATATATATAAATATATATATATATATATTTATATATATAATATATATATATATATATATATTTATATATATATATATTATATATATATATATATATATATATATATATATATATATATATATATATATATATATATATATATATATATAATATATATATATATATATATATATATATATAATATATATATATATATATATATATATATATATATATATATATATATATATATATATATATATATATATATATATATATATATTAGTAAACATACTTGAACTGATGTACATGTAAGTAAGAATACATAAATACATATATTCTTACACTCTTCAAAACAAACAAGGTAAGGTGAGGGTTGTGTGTTGTCGAGTGTAAGTGGGAGGAGGATTGTAAACTTGCAGTGTGTAAGTGAGAGGAGGATTGTAGAGGAGCGTGTATTAGCCTTCACTTGTCCCTCGGGGCGGTTACAACACGACTCCAACGGCAGAATAAAGATTTTTTGCACTTAGCATTATTGTTTAGTAGGCTGACACACGCATGGCTTCGTTTACATTCACTTCTGTTAACGAAAGGTTGTAGCATGGTAGCTTTAAGAGGGCTGATGGTAATATTTGTGGTGATGGGTATTGTGGTAGCTGTAGTAGGGACGATTGTGGTAGCTGTACCTGTACCACCACCACGATCCTGTGATGGTGGTGATCGTGGTAACTGTTGAGATGTAGTAAGGGCCAGGTGTGAGCCACACCAACAGTGGATTGCGCACACTTCGTCATTGATTACCTATAGTGAAGAGTCCAGAGGACCCGCTTGGGCCTCCCTCCCTTTCCCACCTCACCAACCCTACACACTACCCACCCTGGGCAAGTCCACTCACGTGCATTTGAAGTCACAATAACGTGGAACAAAAAATGTTGACCAAACCACACACTAGAAAGTGAAGAGACGACGACGTTTCGGTCCGTCCTGGACCATTCTCAAGTCGATTGTGAGGCAGAATCGACTTGATAATGATCCAGGACGGACCGAAACGTCGTCGTCTCTTCACTTTCTAGTGCGTGGTTTGGTCAGCAAAGGTCCACTCACTCCACCTTCCCTGTTGATGGCACGCGCACAGGCTACGCACCACCCCCCTAATCCATTCACTACCTGGAATCCTTTCGCCTTTATTCGCCATTTATAACCTGTGATATTTTCTTCTTTATCCACCACCTGTGATGTTATCGACTTGACCCACCGCCACTGATCCTCTAGCCCTGATCCACCGCGGGCTGTGAGGCTCTCGCCCTGATCCACCGCGGGCTGTGAGGCTCTCGCCCTGATCCACCACGGGCTGTGGTGGATCTTGTCTTGATCTACCACGGACTATGTTGGCTCTCGTCCTGATCCACCACGGGCTGTGGTGGATCTTGTCTTGATCCACCACAGACTATGGTGGATCTCGTCTTGATCCACCACGGACTATGTTGGCTCTCGTCCTGATCCACCACGGGCTGTGGTGGATCTTGTCTTGATCCACCACGGGCTATGATTCTTCCTCCTGTCGTATTTGGGAACATAAGTCTCACGATTTCCAACATTTTTGTAGTCAGTGTGGTCAAGTGGTTAAGGATCCAGGTACGCCAAGGTGCACAATGCTCCTGGCTTCCTGTCTGGGTTCGAATCCTTCTTGGTTGTGGAGTTTTCAGTTGCATATTAGCTTGGGGACCATTTCCCAGAGAAATGGGAGAGGAAAATGAACGTTTCGACCGATAAAAACCGAAAGGCGATTAAAAACCAAAAGATAAAAGCAGTCTGGTGTTGACAACCGCTTTTATCGGCCGAAACGTTCATCTTCCTTTCCCATTTCTCTGTGGATTTTCCCGCATATATATATGTGTGTACTCGCCTAGTTGCGCTTGCGGAGGTTGAGCTCTGTCTCTTTGGTCCCGCCTCTCAACCGTCAATCAACAGGTGTACAGGTTCCTGAGCCTATTAGGCTCTATCATATCTACACTTGAAACTGTGTATGGAGTCAGCCTCCACCACATCACTTCCTAATGCATTCCATTTGTCAAACACTGACACTAAAAAAGTTCTTTCTAATATCTCTGTGGCTCATTTATGCACTCAGTTTCCACCTGTGTCCCCTAGTGCGTGTGCCCCTTGTGTTAAATAGCCTGTCTTTATCTACCCTGTCGATTCCCTTGAGAATCTTGAATGTGGTGATCATGTCCCCCCTAATTCTTCTGTCTTCCAACGAAGTGAGGTTTAATTCTCGTAGTCTCTCCTCGTAGCTCATACCTCTCGGCTCGGGTACTAGTCTGGTGGCAAACCTTTGAACCTTTTCCAGTTTAGTCTTATGCTTGACTAGATATGGACTCCATGCTGGAGCCGCATACTCCAGGATTGGTCTGACATATGTGGTATATCAACCCGTTCTCGCAAATTTAATAAGTCAATATTGACTTATTAAATATGTGCATAGGTGACATACTTAACATAATAGTTTCCCTTGAAAAGCTTCATAGAAAACACCGACCTTACCTAACCTACTTAGTATGTTAAGATAAGCATCTTATTGCTTCGTAATTACAATTATTACCTAACCTATAATAGGTATAGGTTAAGTAATAATTGTAATTACGAAGCAATAAGATGCTTATCTTAAGATACTAACAAGGTTAGGTAAGGTCGGTGTTTTCTATGAATCTTTTTAAGGGTATCTATTATGTTTAGTATATCACCTATGCACGTTGTTAATAAGTCAATATTGACTTTACGAATTTGCGAGAACGGGTTGGGTATATAATGTTCTGAAAGATTCCTTACACAAGCTTGTAAAGGCCGTTCTTATGTTAGCCAGCCTCGCATATGCCGCAGACGTTATTCTTTTTATGTGGGCTTCAGGAGACAGGTCTGGCGTGATATCAACCCCCAGGTCTTTCTCTCTCTCTCTGACTTTGCACCATAGCCCGTGTTACTTGGAACTTTTTGTTCCAGGTAGCGAATCTTTAACAACAACTCTCTGACTCTTGAAGTATTTCATCTCCCAAATGATACCTTGTATCTGGTCTCCTGCTTCCTACCCCTATCTTCATTACATTACATTTGCTTGGGTTAAACTCTAACAACCATTTGTTCGACCATTCCTGCAGCTTGTCCAGGTCTTCTTGAAGCCTCAAGCTGTCCTCCTCTGTTTTAATCCGTCTCATAATTTTGGCGTCGTCAGCAAACATTGAGAGGAATGAGTCCATACCCTCTGGGAGATCTGGGAGAGAAGATTGTGTGTGTGTGTGTATGTATGTATGTATGTATGTATGTATGTATGTATAATATATATATAAATATATATAATATATAAATAAATATGTGAACAAGCCTGAATGGTCTCCAGGCATATATGAAACTGAAAACTCACACCCCAGAAGTGACTCGAACCCATACTGCCAGGAACACTATGCAACTGGTATCTACAGGAGACCTTAACCACTCGACCATCAGTGACGGTACAAAAGAGGATGGTAGCTGAGGCTATTTGCCCATCATCCTGACGGCACTTTGATGGTAATCTTGGGCATAGTTATTTTATCAAATCGCCTCACTTTGTGGGGCCACGTGAGCAACACAAATGCGAACAAGCCTGAATTGTCCCCAGGCATATATACAACTGAAAACTCCACACCCCAAAAGTGACTCAAACCCATACTGCCAGGAGCATTACGCAACTGGTGTACAGGAGACCTTAACCACTCGACCATCGGTGACCGTACAAAAGATGATGGTAGCCGAGGCTACAAATTACCTACTTAAGCTCATCTGTTAGATTAAGGACCTGACCTTGTTACTTGTTACTATGCATGCTAGTGGCTTTACAAGAATGTAAAATCATCAATGCTATGTACTCTCATAAACCTAATGTATCTTTTAGTATATTTATTTATTTTATTTATTTATAAACTCTATCATGTCTCCACTGTTTTAACATATCTCAACTTTTTTATTCTCTCTCCCATCCCTCTCCAACCTCCTTTTTTTTCCTTAATCCCTCAAAATATTTAAAAGCATGGTCCGAATATTTATGGCATTTTCAGAGATTATGAATGAGGTGATACGATCGAAGAAAAAGTCAGCGAGCACAGATTGGCGTGTTCTGGTGGTGGACCAGCTAGCCATGCGCATGGTCTCCACATGCCTTAAGATGCACGAAATTTCTGCTGAGGGCATCACAAGTGAGTTGTGCTACCTCCCAATGTTTTCTTTATTATTGGTGTTGAGCTTTTCAATTACTAGCAAATACTATAAAGTACTTTTAAGATAGTCTTCTTAGTACTGTACTATAAAACTTTTCTCAGTTGCTTAATTTTTTCAGTATGAATTTGTCTTTTTGTATTTCATGTACAGTATCTTGTGTTGGAAACAGTTTTATGTTTTTCCAGAATGTTGTTTTTGTTCTGTATTTGTAATTGTATAAGTGCATGTGGCTCACAGCTTTTTCTTGTTGTGCTTTTTTGTATCAACACATGTTTGCTTTTTGGGATTAATTTGCTGTGAGCCTGCTTACACATATACAATACAGTACTGTACTTACATTCTAATATTCAGCAGACTTCAGCTTTCTTGTGTAAGAGTGTGTTAAATATTGTAATCCCACTAAAATGAAATATTAGATATTAGCTACCATTATTATTATTATTATTATTATTATTATTATTATTATTATTACGGTATATTAGCTACCAAGCTAATATACCTATGTGCGCGCTCTAGAAGGATGCATGGCCAAGGATCATGTCAGTCCCTCTCTTGCGCACCTTTATACCTTCCACTTCACTACTGTATAGTTGACATGTGAATTTCCATTACCTTGCTCAATAACTTTGCCAGGCAATTACAGTCCTATTCATTCATAAGTACCATGACTTATTAATTGTATTTAAAATTTTTAGACACTAAATTACGGCATAATGTTTGCATTTTTTATATCTCTAGTCATAACTTGTATCAGAACTGCACTTGGGTGTGCATTCTAATCATATTCATCAATAAATGGAGTTCGAAATGTTCCATGGGCACATTAAGCACATTCTGGTCCTTCACCTGCAGCTGTAATTACACTACATCACCCTTTTTTTTTTGGAAGGGGGCTATTTACTGGTACTACCAAAATTTCAAAATTTTTCTTATAGCAAGTGATACAATACTTGTTCATGCATGTGGATGTATTTAGACACATGCATAATGTATAAAAATGATTTTGTATGCATATAGGTGATAATTACACACGACAAACAATCACAAACACAGAGGCAGCAAAATATTTATTGTACTGTGTCATCTGTTAAACTAAGACAGTCACCATGAGCTGGCCCTGAAGTGCTTAATAACTGTAGTTAATGCCATGTTAACAGTAGTAGACTGCAACTGTTGATAAACAGCAGCCAGACCCCCAGGCTATAGTTGTATGTTTATCATTGGCAAATGACATCTGAATCCTCACACATAAAATTAAAAGGTTTAACTTTTTTGTCGCTTCTAAGAACATAAGAACAAAGGTAGCTGCAGAAGGTCTATTGGCCCATACGAGGCAGCTCCTATTTATAACCACCCAATCCCCTAAGATTCTCTTTCCACTGCTGCTTTCAATTTGTCACAAACTAAACTGATAGGCATCCTTTTTTTTTTCTCTCAAAAACAGAGCTCTGCATTCCACATGCCTTCCCAGTTACAATCGCATTTTTCTAATAAATTGACCTTCTCATGGTAAGGAAGTTCCTCTTTTCCTAGTAACGAGATGTGTTGGATGTATATGATACTCGTATAGGATGCTGATAGAGTGGAATATCAATACCTGATACATTGAACACACAAGAAATATTCATTTTGATGATGATATAATTCTACTCAACCAAGGCTGCCTGCTGGTACATTGGCAGTACTTGCTGGCCTGCCAACAGCATCACATTATTTATCTTTAAGTAGTACTAGTGATGTTGAATATCTCATGACCTTGATGCAGAGGTTGCGTTTAGCTACACAATTCTTTCCGAAATATCTTATAGCTCTTACAAAAAATTTCTTGTATTTATTTTTTTTTATATCTCATTTGTTTTTCTTTAATTAAAATTAATGCTCTTTTTTATAGTTAATTTTAATCATTATACCACTCATTTTTTTAATTAATTTGATCTACTGCATCAGGTGACATTTTCTTCTTCAGTATTGTCACCAAATGGCTGCAGCTACCAGGTCCAAACTCATGTTGAAACTTTATATTTTTTTAACTTGTAAAAAAAAAAGTACAAAACACAGTAACATAGTAAAAAAAAAAACCCCTAAAGTGAATGCTCTTGATTATCACCACAGAAGGGTTAATATATACAGGGGAGCTACAATTAAAGCAAACAGAATGTATTTATATACAAATTTAACTCATTCTTGCACTATATGTTACTTAGTTCTATTGTCTGATAAATTCTTGAGCTATATTGACTAGTATAGATTCCCTGAATATCACTAGATAAATCTTTAACAATTCTTATTCCTTCACATATGAGACTGATAAACCAAAACTTATGTTGGTAGATATCAACAACATCTCTGTAGCCAATACTAAGTGGGAGTGTGTACAAATACTGTACTGTACATGTACACACATTTTTACGTGAGTGTTTCTAGTGACATAATACATTCCTAAGTATCTGGAATTGTGTACATGTGCAATACTTTCATTTCAGTTGTGGAAGATATCAACAAGAGTCGAGAGCCACTGCCAGCGTTGGAAGCAATCTACCTCATCCAACCCACCAAACTTTCCATAAGTAGCCTCGAACAAGACTTCATCACGTCCAATAAAGCCAAATACAAAACCTGTCATGTCTACTTTACAGAAAGTGAGTATGTGATGCAACTTAATGTTGTAGAAATTATAGTGAATGTTATGTAAAGTGAATAAATATTATCATTGGTGATAAATGAAAGGAAATTTGTTTAGTTATTTGCATTACAAAAAACACTCAAATGTGCATTACTCACCCATAGCCCGACTGTAACATGGCATACCTTGCTAACCCTAGTGTACACTACATGTGCAACTTGGTATCTGCGCTGAAATTGGATGATGAACGAATACCAGTTTGTCTTCAGGAAGAACTGAAAAGTATTTACATGCTTCACCATTATGACATTTAAACTGAACTGGTTGCTACTCAAGTGGCTGATGACCTCCCTTTTTGATGATGTCTGTTGTGTAATAAAGTGCTGAGTACGGTACAGCGGGAGATCATTATTCTCTGGTTATGTGGCTCATTTATTTGCCTTATTCAATCCAACATTAATGATGAAAATATGATGAGGCTTTTGTAATACAGTACTGTTTATTTTATTATAAAAAGTATACATACAAAAATAATTCCTTGTAGACTACAATACATTTTAAATAGTGCCTTATTAAGCCCTTACAAAAGTATAATTTTTCACAAAATTATTCTGATGGTGTTAACTATGAAACAATTTCCAATTATTAGTATGTACACAGTATTATGTATTATTATGCTCACAATTATAAAGTACAGTGGTACCTTGGAATACGAGTGTCCCTGTATACGAGTTTTTCAGAATACGAGCAGGATTTGCTCAGAAAATTTGCCTCGGAAGGCGAGGGTTGCCTCGGAACACGAGGGTGTTGATACACGTACAGGCCGACTAGCGCGTGGTGGCACGGCGATCGCGCCCAGTGACTATCCTGCCTAAATTCTTCACAAGGATTTAGTTTTTTTTTTTTTTTTTTGGCCATTTAAGCATAAACGTTATTAAATATCTTGCCATGGGTCTCAAGAAAGCCATTGGTAAGGTTCAACTTAAGAAAATAGCTGTGAGTAGTCAGGAGAGGATGTCCCTTCTTGATTAAGAAAATGTGTGAAGTATGGGAAGAACTGCAAAGTTTTGTTGAAAAAACTCTCACAGATAAAGCTGTAGCAGGCCGTTGCATTGACCTTTTAAATGACAATGAGATGTCTTACTACAGACAAGTGATAAAATGTAGGGAAAAACAAGTGTCTTTAGATAGATTCTTAGTAAGACAAGCAAGTCCTAGTGGTATGCAGGCAAAATGTGCCAGTGTGTGTACACCAGTGAAGTCCTCATTGCCTGATGTTATAATGGAAGGGGACCCCCCTTCCAAATAATAACACCTCTCCTCCTCCTTCCTCCTCACCATCTTCCATACGCCAACAGCAGTCATCAACAAGGGTAAGTAATAACTTGAACATAGTTTTGTAGGTTTATTTAGATGAATTGGGTACAAAATTTAGTTTGAAGTGAGGTTTTTGGGTAGTCAGGAATGGATTAATTAATTTCCCATTATTTCTTATGGGGAAATTAGCTTCGGACTACGAGTGTTCGGAATACGAGCTGTCTCCAGGAACGGATTAAACTCTTAAACCGAGGTACCACTGTACACAGTTAATAATATAAACCTGGATTTATATTGGCATAATTCATTGACATAAAAGATTTACCAAATTGTTGGAGCCCATGGTTACTACTGTGGTTTGTGATATTTTGGATTAATTACTTGCGTTCTTAAGATATTCCATAATTACAGTATATATAAAAATCAATTACATGTACATGTTTTTTTGTTACAAAAATATTGTCAGCACAAAGAATCATTAATACTGCAGTTGCCAAATATTTATATATAAACTTATATTTTATATTTATATATTCAAAATATAAATTATATTTATATTTAAATATTAAATTTGTTTAGTGAATCATAATAGACTTTGGGGAAGCTGTTGTTTGACAATTGAGTGTTAATGCTTATAATTTTTAGTGTTACAGGTAATTATTGTATGCTTAATATTAATACACAGCATTGTCTTATCCCTAGCATAATATCCCACAACATACAATATAAATATAATTTTGTTTTTGATGCTCGGCCTCCGAACTGGGGGGTGTAAGTTGCCGACGAGGGGGGTCTGGGGCTTTTCCCTTCTGGTCGGCGGTTTTGTTTTGTATTTGATACTCGGCCTCTGAACTGGGAGTTGAGTAGTTGGAGCGGGGGTCCGGGGCTTCCCCTACCCCTCACGGCGATGGGAGAGCTGCACGAACAAGCGGTGCAGCGGCGGTGTATGACATTTGCTTGTTTCCTTGGGTGTTGGGGATGTTCTGCCCGTCTGTTTGGTCTTCGGTTGCATTTTCTTGCCACGTGGGGTTTGTTTCGTTATGCCTACCTTTCTGGGTACTAGCCCCAGTTGATGGCAGACATGGAATGCCCCCAATAACATGGGGGGGGGGTTCCATATGCCATTGCTTCCTGTGCCTCTCTGAGGGTGCAAGGTTCTGGCTCATGGTTGCCAGTAGGCTGAACTTCAATTGACTGATGCCGCCAGACTTGCATATCAGTCAGATAGCTCCAGCGAGCCTCCGGGGCTCACCCGAAAAATGGCGTTTCATTACATTCAGCGCTGTTTTTTGTCTGTGCTGTTAAGAACAATTATTGTCCGGTTCTTGCAATTTTTTGTTAGCTCGTAACAAAATTAATTTGTCAAATTGCATGTTGCTTTCCTTATTTAAATTTTATACTTGAAGACCTGGGGCCTGACAGCTGAGTGGACAGTGCTCAGGATTCATAGTCCTGAGGTTGATAGTTCGATCCCCGGTGGAGGCAGAAACAAATGGGCAGAGTTTCTTTCACCCTGATGCACCTGTTCACCAAGCAGTAAATAGGTACCTGGGAGTTAGACAGCTGCTATAGGCTGCTTTCTGGAGGATGCGTAACAAAAATGATGCCAGTTCTAGGACCGGGCCACGGGAACGCTAAGCCCCGAAGTCATCTCAAGATAACCTCAAGACTTTTTCTTTCCTTCTTTTGTCCCCTTACCATGATACAATAGCTGCTTGCTTACTCTGGTAATAGAAACAGACTTGACTATTGCCTTTTTGACTGCCACACATGTATATCACATTGTATAGGCCTATGCTGCCCAACTTTGTATGTAAGAAGTAAATGTAACTTGCAGGAATGATGTGTGAATGAGATTAGGTTGAAAGGAAGACGAAGTATACTATTGTGATGAAGGTAAATTGTGTATATCGGTTTTTATAATATTTACAGCAATATGGAGATACAGTATGCTATATGCATTCATTTGGAGTTCACTCTGATACATATTTAATATTAACTAGGCTACCAGTTATAAGTGGATACAGGAATAGATATATTATTTTTAGTATTACTAAAGTAATTTTCCATCGACTAATTCAGCTTTTCTCTTACAGCTTGTCCAAATGAATTGTTTAATGAGCTATGTAAACAACATGTTGTCAAGTACATCAAGACACTTAAGGAAATCAACATTGCATTTTTACCCTACGAAAGCCAGGTATTTATTATTTTTCCCAGATCTGGTATCGGTTGTCTGTCTCACCATTTTATATATGAGGTCAAACAAAAATAGAGAACACTGATACCATTCACTATTGTCATCATCACGGGTCAGCACACGTGGTCAGGCATTATTATTCGAGCCCAGCATTAAAATTGGTGCAAAATAATACTGTACAAGACAAATTTGTTGGTTTCTATCTTTTAGATGCTTTTTATTCCTCCAATTTTTCTCTTTCTAACTTTCTTTGTTTCATCCTTCTTGTCTCTCTTCTCTCTCTTTTTTTTTTTTTTAACTATACAGTACTTCATCTTTCTTATGCCTTCCTCCTTGTTCTTATGCCTTCCTCCTTGTTCTTATGCCTTCCTCCTTGTTCTTATGCCTTCCTCCTCGTTCTTATGCCTTCCTCCTCGTTCTTATGCCTTCCTCCTCGTTCTTATGCCTTCCTCCTCGTTCTTATGCCTTCCTCCTCGTTCTTATGCCTTCCTCCTCGTTCTTATGCCTTCCTCCTCGTTCTTATGCCTTCCTCCTCGTTCTTATGCCTTCCTCCTCGTTCTTATGCCTTCCTCCTCGTTCTTATGCCTTCCTCCTTGTTCTTATGCCTTCCTCCTCGTTCTTATGCCTTCCTCCTCGTTCTTATGGCTTCCTCCTCGTTCTTATGCCTTCTTCCTCGTTCTTATGCCTTCTTCCTTGTTCTTATGCCTTCTTCCTCGTTATTATTCCTTCTTCCTCGTTCTTATTCCTTCCTCCTCGTTCTTATTCCTTCCTCCTCGTTCTTATGCCTTCCTCCTCATTCTTATGCCTTCCTCCTCATTCTTATGCCTTCCTCCTCGTTCTTATGGCTTCTTCCTCGTTCTTATGCCTTCTTCCTCTTGTCCCTTCCTTTCTCCTTCTCCTCACCCCCCTTCTTTACTCTCCTTCCTTGACTCATCCTCCTCCTTAGCCATTGTCCATTTCTCTTCTTGCTCCTTGCTTGTCCTTTCCTCTTCGCCCTTTCATTTTCCTTTCTGCCTTTTCTATTTACCTTGCCTCTTTCTTTTCTATGGCCTAATTTTGTTTGTGTTAAATTTGTGTTTGTGCTCCTTAATTCTCCTCTATTTCTGGTACTTCTCATTGCATCTTGCTCAGCCTGCTCCCTGACTCTCTCATTCTCCTCTGTCACTTTTTCATCCTCCTCTGTACCCCCTTCCTCATCCTCCCTCCTGCTCCCTTCCTCATCCTCCCTCCTGCTCCCATTCTCATCCTCCCCCCTGCCCCATCCTCATCCTCCCTCCTGCTCCCATCCTTATCCTCTCTCCTGTCCCTTCCTCATTCCGTCCTCTGCCCCTCACTACCCATTTCTCATCCTTTACATGTTTTACCCTTTCCATATCCTTCCTTTTCTGTAATTTTTCATTCTTTAGTCTTGCATCCGTCTCTCCCTCCTGCTTCCTTCTCCTCCTCCCTTGCACACATTTCCATACTTGTTGCTCTTCTACCTACCTTCAAGTGATTCCATGGATCATCATCACTGCCACCTTGTCTTCGACCTGGTTAATGGCTTCATTAGCTGGGGTTTCATTTGTTCAACATTTCCTCCAATTCCTCAACCTTATCTTTTGATAACCCATCAGAGTGCTTTACAGGTACAGTATACGAAGCTGATGTTTAACTTGTTGCTGTCTGTGGTGATAATTTTCAATATTTGCTGTAATGTCTGTAGTTCATTTAATCCTAAGTATTTTGTTTCAAATCATTGTCTCCTTTGTGTCTTGTTAAGTTTAATGGGGAGGATATATGTTTTAAGTCCATCAAATAATGATGATGGAAAGAAAAGCTTGAGACTTAACATTATAACAACCTGTAAAGATTACTTAGTGTAATATGTGTCATTGATAATGGCTGGAATGTGTGTATGGATGAATGGAGTGTATTCAACTTAATCCTACATGAAGTTTTACTTTCATTTACAAGTTCCGCTATAAAAAGGCACGTTATTAATGTTTAAATACTGTGTGTATATTGTACAGGAGTTAATGGAGTGTATCATTCTTAATGTATGCATATGAGCAAAGTTCTGGCAAAGAAAGAGGGGTAAAACAGTAGAACATTGTTGGTGTATGATTCAAAGGGGGAATTTGTTCAAGTAAATTTGAAAATAGTACTACAGTATATAGTGAGACGAGGAGGAGAAAGAATGGTGAAGTAATTAATTGGTTGTCGTAACAATATTGAAACATTATTTTGCTACTGAAGAGCAAGCCACCCAATCTTGAGGGGTTTATAAAAATTGTACATTTGTACAGCTAGTTTATTGGCATATGGCTTTATTTTTATTCTGTTTTTACATATGAATGCTCATAAATGATTACCGTGTGGCATAGGGTAAAATAAAAAGGAATGCATAATAATGATGCTACTGCTATGCAGCACTACCTCTCACCCTGGAGGCAGAGTAGGTGGATGGATGGATGGATCAATGTGACTATATAGTACAAGAAAATACTTTTGTACATCTGTCTTCTATTGTATGTTGTTTGTACACCTATCAGATGTTGAATGTTATTTGCCTTTATATGTAAATGATATGATAAAAAATATATTGCATAAAATTAGATTTTTTATTAATTTTTGGAGGATGTTGCAATATTTAACTTAATGTGAATAAAATCCCATTTCCAATGTTATCCTTGGGTAAAAATTCAATAATAAAACAATAATAATAATAGAAAAAATCATTTGGTGCAATGAGATAACTCGAACCAGGAATAAGGGGACTCCAGTGTGTGCACCTTACCCCTGTACCACGACGGAGTATTAATTATACAACCTGTGAATTCCGTGGAATCCCAGGTTGTATAAATGACTTACACCATGTCATGGTACAGAGGTAAGGTGCATGGCTGGGAGTATCTTGATTGCTAGTTTGAATCACCTCATTGCTCCAATTAATTTTCTCATTGATATGTATCATGTTGGTGTGATTTTTGTGTAAATAATAATGATCCTCGTTATAATAATAATAAATAGGTTCGAATCCTCATCACGGCTCCTGTGAATTTTCTCAATAATAATAATAATAATAATAATAATAATAATAATAATAATAATAATAATAATAATATGCAACTTGTGCATATTGGAGTGCATGAACATGCCAGATGGTGGTAGGTTTTACCATTTACTATAACTGTTAACAATGCTTGTAAATATTGTATTTAGTAAAGAACTCTCAACTTTTATAGCTACAGAAAGTTGCATGTTGACAAAAAAGGCTCTGGGTTTGTATTAAATAATACAGTGTGTTAAAACAACAAATTAAATAATTTAAGTATAGAACACTATTTTTATTTTTGTAAACAAAATTGCCTTCAGCATAGCATGTTCCTTGTCCAAATGTTGTGCCATTAGTGTCTTTACAAAATCCTCAGGAGCCATGTGGGTGTACTTTTCAGAACTGCACTGCATCTGGGTGATGAGGCCTTCATATATCTTTGCCCTCTTACATCCTTTTGTCTAAGCTACCTTCACTAATGTTATGCATAATGTTATCCTTCAACAGGTGTTTTCATTGGACTGTCCCAAGGCATTTCCATCATATTACAGTCCTTCTCAAGCCCAAACTAGGCAAACCACACTGGAGCGAATGGCTGAGCAGATAGCAACTGTTTGTGCCACTCTTGGCGAGTATCCTGCTGTAAGGTAATGTATTTTGCCA